GTGCGTGGCTGCGTCGGGGCGCGAGGAGAGAGATGAGTAGAGGACACACAAAGGCTATGGGAGTCCATATACATAAACACACCCCACCATCACCCAGTCAATGCTAAGCGATTCAAAATAGTAACAAACGAACTTTCAAAGTATCATTGAGCCACCTTGGTCTGCCGAGGCCTCAATCGCGCCGCGAACTCGCATTGCTACTATTTGGATCTGCATAAAGTAAATGTACAGTAAGCTACCTCTGACTTTCCCAGAGTCTGTTTGCTTTTTTCTCTCTGCCTTTAGCAGTTCTCCTCAGATCATTGACGGTGATAAGGGAACATTACACCTCTCCTCAGACCCGCAGCTCTCTCTATTACAGGGAAACCTGTATAGAAAGGCCCAGCAGTCTGAGGTGACATATAGGTGTCCCTTTTCTCCTCCTAAATTCCTTTCCTTTTCTTGTGGTCACCTGGACCTACATAAATCCCCTGTGGATTTTTGTATTCGTCTGGGTGGTGTGCTGCTTACCTGTTGCCCCTTTGTAGCAAGGATTGGCAATAAGGGAGTGGCCCAACACAAAGCTCCAATCCCCTTGTGCACTGGAGAACGCAACCAGTCTGCCACTAGGGGGGGTCGAGTATAGGCTCCTTTTTTCCCTTACTTTCTCTCTCTCTCCATCACCTCACCCACCGATCACTTCAATCACGTCACCCACCCGGCATCTCCCCCGACCAATGTACCTTGACCTTGCCAAAAATTAAGATAAAAACTCTCGGTGCCCCTACCCAGAGAAAAAGAGATATACTCGCCAATGCACTTTTCGGTGCGGAGATCAGAGTACTTCGGTACTTCACCCTCCACGACGGCTAACTGGCCTTGATTGAGGACGACGTCCACGCCGAGAAACTCTTCTCGCAGGATGTCGTCCAGTCCCTGGAGAAAATTGGTTTCTCCCCTGTCCTCCCTGTGGACATGAAGGCCAAGCTCACGTTGGTCTTCAAAAAGCTCGACCGACAAGTTGTTAACGAGTCGGAACTCGACATTGAGGAAGAGATTACCTCTTCCTTCCCTGAAGCCCAAGTTGAGAATATCTTTCAGACCATACCACTGCCAAGAAAATTAAAGAGAAGGGGATATACCTCTTCAAGCTATATGTTGCCCCCTGGCAAATCGAGTTTGAGAGGTATACTCCCCTCAAACAATGCATGAATTGCTTTGGGTATGGTCATCTTAAGACCCACTGCAAAGCAGAGAAGAAGACACGATGTACGGAGTGCGGCTCCGGCACCCACTCCTATAGGGAATGCAAAAGCCCTACCAAAAAATGCCTGAACTGCGGCGGTGCCCACAGAACTTTCGCCAACAGTTGCCCCATCCGAAGAGGCCATGAAGGTCTCCCAAGAGAAACTTAGGGAGAAAGAAAAAGAAACTGAAGCCAAGCCATACAGAGCTGTAGCTCAAAAAACAACCCAAGAAGCAGTCCAAGCCACCACCAGGACCTGGAAACCACTAATAAACCAGGTCCGCCAAGAAATAAAACAGACAAAGTCTGAACCTTCCATTCATCTAGCCCTCCCTAACGACCTCTCGAAGGAGATCCTTGTGGTCCTCCTGTATGCTCACATGCAAAACCCAACCCCAACCCCTGCAGGCTCAATCTGCAGAGCCTCTTCCTCAAAGGATCCAGGAACCTAGGCCTCAGCCTGCTGAGGCCCAGGCAATGGAACCCCAGTCAGCTCCCCATAGCGTCGAAGACGCACCTGCTCCTTCCACCGCCATGGCCTCCCCCTCTCGTCAGTCAGTGAGACCCAAGACTATTAACATCCCCTCTGCGGCTGACCTTGAGAAGGTCACCAGCACCCCTGACGCCCCTCCCCCCACCCCAGACCTGACAGAACCCACCGGCCACTTCACTGACGACGAAGGGCTGGAGCGCCTCATTGATGGGACCGCCACAGACCCTGCCCACTATGGCATTCGTCTCTTCTCTGCAAACCCCTCAAAATACCAGTACTCTGACCGCACCGAAATTGGCATGGAAATAAATAATAGGCGAATAAAGTGGCTTTTAACGAAAAGAGAGCACGCTAACATAGTCACAGTTAAGAGGATTCACAAACACCTCAAGGATGGCAACATGCGCGTCACCAACGCCATGATTGAATATAGCCAAGACCTCAACAAATTAAACAACGGCTACCTCCTTGAATAACAACATACTACATATGACACGCCACACACTACACCCACGCCTCACCATTATACAACACAATGTACTACACTGTACAAACCGGAAAGCTGAACTGTGCAACACATACAGAAGACACGACCCACACATCATACTCATCAACAGCCATGGGCTCAATAACACCAACCCACTCAAGATATACATGTACACCACCTACTCTTCTAACAAATCACAGGAAAGAAGCGATGGCGTAGCAATAGCGATCAGAAACGACATCTCACACAAAATCATTAATAACTTTCACTCAGATCTACTGGCAGTCGAAATAAACACACCACAAGGACCCATTATACTAGCAACATTATACATTCCACCAAGTACACCTTACATACCAGAACCTGACATTTTGCAGCTCCTGAGGCACAATAAACCAATATACATCATGGGAGACCTTAACGCAAACCACCCTCTTTTCGGCTACAATCAAACAAACACTGTAGGCAGAGGCCTCGCCTCACTCATACAATGAGGCAGACACACACCTCGGTCCACACACACCAACATATATAGCACATAACACGGCAACAACACCAGACATAGTCTTAGCAAATCACAGAGCACAACTACACCACCACAACACAACAGACGACGTCACATCCAGCGACCACCTCCCGGTCATCATATCACTCTCAACACACCCCATCATGATCCCTAAACAACCCCGAGAATCTTTCAAACATGCAAACTGGGAGGGCTTCAAACAAGCACTTGAAAACACACAAATAATTGATCTCGAAGGGCAACCCACACACACAATAAACACCCACCTTGAACAGTGGTACACAGACATATAGACGGCAGGCCAACATTCCCACAACAACATACAAGACAATCCCTCACTACAGAGAAACACATCGTCTGAAATTGCTTAAAATACAATACAGGCACCTACACGACCTCGCAATAACACGGGGCTGGGACGCACAACTACGCACACGATACAGAGAAATACGAACACAAATCACCCACGAAATTAAAGTAATGAACAAACAACACTGGGAAACACTCACGCGAAGACTATGTCAAAACACAAAAGACCCCAAGAAATTTTGGAGTACCTTCAAAATGCTCATGGGGTCGAACAAACAGACAATCACATACATATACAACACACAAAGACAGAAAGTTGACACGGTGGAGGAGATGGAGCCTCTCCATAGAGAATTCTGGCAACAGAATTTTCAAATCTCCCCCACCGAGAACGCCCGATTCGACCACACCACAGAGACCGAGGTTACAAACTACATACAACAACATAGAAACATATTTCTCCCAGAAAACACCATTAGACTGAACACACTCACAGAGGACAGTCCCCTCTCCACACCTATCACACCAGAGAAAATAACAAACACAATCAAATGCACCAAAAACACCACACCAGGAGCAAGCAACATAAACAAAACAATCATCGAACACCTTCCACCCAGAATGATCAGCAGACTACGCCATATCTTCAATGCAGCACTGGCAACAGGATATTTCCCTGATAAATTCAAACACGCCACCCTCACCTTAATACCCAAGCCAGGGAAATCTACACATGAGGTGGGGAATTACCGCCCCATCTCACTCTTAGAAGTCCCAGGCAAACTGCTAGAGAGGGTAATAACACAAAGACTCATCCCACACCTTGAAAACAACCAAATACACAACACTAGGCAATACGGCTTTCGCCCACACAGGGGGACCGAGAGCGCCATCGCCCTCGCTTATAAGGAGATTGCTCTCGGTCTCGCTAACAAGCACCAGACGAACGCAATACTACGAGACGTCAGCAAGGCCTTTGACAAGGTCTGGCACGACGGTCTCAAATACAAACTAACACAATTACAGCTGCCCACACACTTTACACGCCTTCTCTGCAGTTTCCTGGACGACAGGACTGCCACAATACGCCTTGGCACCCACCTACGCACCCCCATCCACCTCAGAAGTGGAGTACCACAGGGAAGCGTTTTATCGCCAACCCTCTATATCCTGTACACCGCCAATCTGCCAGAACCAACACCTTACAGCAACTATATTTCCTATGCAGACGATATCACGCAGATCATCACACACCCCTCTAAGTCACAACACTTCATGAAACGAACAACAGAAAGAGCTATACAGAACATCAACACCTTTGAGCACCATTGGAAAATACAGACAAACATAAACAAATTCAAACTCATACCCATAGCACGTAAAAAGTCACAACCAATCACAATCAACAACACCAACATACCATACACTAACACAGGAAACATTCTCGGACTACAGTTCACAACCGCAGGCTTCCTCACACACGTTAAACACAGAATAACACAAGCACAAATAACACTAACCAAACTAAAACGCTTTTCATGCTGCACACCACAAACAAAACAACTGTCAGACCTATCCTTGAATACACAGCTATCCCACTGGTTGCAATATCAAACATACAAAAACTACGAATGCAATCAGTACAGAACAAAGCACTACTCTGGGTACACGGCGCAACATACCGAGACCGAATTTCCGCAGAAACACTACACAGAACATACAGCATGGAACCACTAAACACACGCATACACAGACGAGGCAAAAACACCTGGGCCCGACTACGCGAACAACAAGACGAACACTATAACAACATCTTTGAAAAACACACAAACACACACACAAACCACGCATGGTGGCCCAGAACACTACCAATCACAGAACACGAAACACCCACACCGATATACATATACATATAGCCTCATCTAATACCATTAAAATGCCATGTCATGTACTCTGTTCA